TTTATTAAATTTAGTTTTTCCCTTTTGGATTTTGTTAAGTTATGAGTTCAAATTATATTTCATACACAGTTATTCAGGGTACTGTATTCAAAAGTCGTTATAAAATTTATCATAGAAGTCTCATTTATTTGCAATCTCAATAACAGGAAGCTTCATATGTTGTTTTTCTGTACATTTTTTACTACTAAATAAAACTTGTATATAAATGACTTGTTACGTGTTGGTTCTAAAACCAGCTTCGACAGTATGTTGTCATAGAGTTGTGGCAGGCACATTTCAGTTTATCATTGCTGAATAATGAAAATGGATTTTATCACAAAGGTTAGCTTTTCGTAAGATTCTGAAGTACCAGGGGAAAGGTTTGAATTATATTCAATTGTAATTTGGATAATAATGATTATATTCTCCTTTAATGACACTGGTAATGGTATAATACAGACCTGTTAATCAGACCTGCAGTCTAGGTGGAAGTCGAATATCCTTCTCTCCAAACTTTCAGAATACATGGGTATTTTTAATGCATTGCTAGCCCAGAGGCTGTAAGCCCACATACATACACCACATGCAGAAAACATACAACAAAGTTAACAACTCGGTTTTATTTCTGTCACCACTTTGTGTTATGAAGGGGTTCCACGATACTTTGGTCTGTTCGGTATTAATACCACAGCGATATCTATATTCCCTTGAGCATAGAAATAAACAAGTTACTACAAAAATATTGCAAAACATAGCATTTGCCCCAAGTGAAGTTTTCATAGTATTCCCTAAAGGTAAAGAAAAGGTTTGGGGGGTGGGGAGGGTCCCCAGGATAATATCCTCAAAATTTCCTTGGAGAGTTTTGAATCTGGCAATAATGAATAGCAGTACAGTTCGTTGAATTTTTATCTTTGAGATTGGTAGGAGAGAGATTCGATGTTGACGGTTAGAATTATTTTTCAGTTTTAAAAAGAAAGTCTGACAATAAATTGCACCCTAACTAGACAAGAACAGAGACGAGTGGAGGTGGAGTTGGCGTGCGGGCTGTGGGGCGTGATACTGGTCGTGCACGGGCAGAGCCACTCGGCCTCTCCAGAAGATGCCCGTCTTATCCCAGTGACGGTCTCGAGGTACCTCTTTCGAGCGCAGCTCCAAACACCGTTAGGTTGCTGTAAG